ACCCTCAGGTTAAAGGAGGAGGAGGAGCAGAGGGAGACACCCTCAGGGCGTAGAGCGGCGAGTCAGAAGTGTCAGGGAGCCGGAGAGGAAACTTGCTGTAATTCACTTTAACCCACTGAAGGAAGAAGACGAGGAGGAGGAGGAGGAGGAAGAGGAAGAGGAGCAGTTGCATCAATAAGGAGGAGAGAGTGGACAGAGGAGGCTGATGGGTAACAGCAGCACTCATGTTGTTTTTGTTTTTCCTCCTCGTAGCTTCTCACTTTATCAGCGTTAGACGGAGCTGCCAGACGAGGTCCGCCCCGGTTCTGATCCGGGCCGGTTCTGATCCGGGCCGGTTCTGATCCGGGCGGTGCGAGGAGGAACACTGAGTCCGGGGACAGACTTTGTGCCGATGAGTTCTGGATTTGTGATGGGCCCAGAACGGATCTGTTTCAACTCGTGCAGAAACTTTTTGTTGACGTTGCTTTGATTCAGACGAGGGCAACGTGTGACCCGAGGGCCAGACGTGGCCCTGGGACCGCCTCCACCCGGCCCCCGATATCCTCAACGAAACCAGGAGCAGAACTCAGCTGGGTTGACGTGGAGCACGACAGATTAAATGTGTGACGCATGTTGTTGTCAAAACACCACGGATTAACTCGGATTAACGACCCTCTTTGTGGTGACTAATTTAAAATATAAATGCAACGTTGCTGTGCGCCATCGTGGATCTTCCACCTGTCGGTTCCCGTCGCACGGACCACACGTCCGGCACATCGTTAGCGCTTTACCTTTTCACGCGGCGGCCGTTTCACCTCTGCTGCTACCTCGCTCCTCGTACGAAGGAGCACCGAGGGGTGGGTTGGCTTCGACCCCCTCGCCGCCTCGGCCCGTTCAGAAGTCACACCAAGGGGACCAGAAGACGTCTCAGTCCTCGTCAGTCAGCGTTTGGACGACACGGACGGCAGTAACGATGGTGGACAGCATTCTGTTTGTGCCCTCCATCTTCTCGCGCTTGTTGCCGAAGCTCGGAGCCTGCAGCGCCGCCTGGTGGCGTGGAGTGGAAACTGCAGCGGGCTCGTCTGAACGGAAAACTCTCGGACGTTTCCAGGAGACGGTTCTTGTGTGACCTGAAGTTCAGTTCGAGCCATTTCTCTCATCAGCTACGGCGGCCATCTTGAACTGACTCCAGAAGGAAATGGGTTCTAGATGAACTCACAGACAAAAACTTCTTCGTGTTTATCAGCTCCTCGCCTTTTCTCTCTTCGAAGACGAAACGCCGAAGAGGTGAAGGTGAGGAACAGCGTCTCCGCCGCTCGAGCTGCGATCATGTTTTGTTCGTTCTGTTTTGAAACATTTCAAGATTGATTTGAGTAAAACTCACCAAAATGAACAACTCTTTAAGCTGCTCGATTCAAGATGGCCGCCACAGCTAATCGCCCTGAGCCAACAGGAAACCGGCTCTAGCTCAGTCAGTTCTAGACACGGAGCTGAACTTTGGTTTGAGTGGCGGGCGACATGCAGTCCTTCAGGGAAAGTTGGACCTTTGTTTATTTATTACGACTTATCGGCTGAGGTCAAAGGTCAGGCTCCTGGAGCGGCCATGATGTTTCCCATCTTTACATGAAAGGGAGATAAATAACCGTTGCAGATATCAGCAGGTTTTCTTGGAATCGTTGATCAAATAACCGTCGATGCGTCTCGGCGAGTGTTGTTGCTCCTGAAGGGGATTTATCGCCGGGTTTATTCAGATTATTTGATTTATTGCTCGGATATCTTTCCCTTTATGGCTTCAGATTAGCAGCCACACCCCCTCTGAAGTATTTATGGTAAATGTTTTTTTTTTTAACAAATGCTGCATTTAAAAAGAAGCAAAGAACTTATTAAGAACGATCTTAAGCTTCGATTCTCTTTCGGGCTTTCTTCTACGAGGTCGGTTTAATTGATAAACAGTATCTAAAGCTTTAACGTCTCCGAAACTTGTAAATGTTCGTAAATGTTTCTCACTGAGGTCTGTTGCAGGCCTTCAATGTTTTTGTGCTCGTCTCGCCTTCAAATCCAATTTTGCTTCATTAAAAAGGGCTTCTAGCGCTTCAAAATGTGCTGCTCTGCACAGGGCTGGAAGTGTTGACGGTGAAATTGTTTGTTTTTACGTCTCAGATAGAAAACTGGGCTCAGTCTTGATAAAAATTTAGATCAGTGTTTTCCTCGTCTCTCAGTCAATTTATGAACGTCTCATTCATACATCAAAGGTTCGGCTCATTTAGGAGAGAGCTGCGCTGACTTTGGTTTTGTTACGTTTATAATTTTTAGAAAATTAGCTCGATTAAAAAAATGTTAAATCTGTTCTTCCAAAAAAAAGTTATCTTTGAAATCTGCTTCAGCTTCTGTCTGTTGTCTTTTACTGGTTTAGTCTTAGCTACTACTCAGTTACCTTTAGCTTTTAGCTAACGTTTTCATACTTTTAGCTGTTAGTTATTCTTTTATTACTATTAGCTTACTTTGTATTTCTTTTGTCTAGTGTTTTGCTACTTTTAGCTACTAGATACGATTTAGCTGTTTTTACCTTTCAGCTAGCATTTGATACATTTAGGTTTTAGCTAGCTTTCAGCTTCTTGAAGCTCATGATTTGCTACGTTTTGTTAGTGTGTTCCTACTCTGTTTTTATTAAGATTTTGGCTACATTTAGCCTCTAGTTAATCTTTTGATACTATTAGCTAGCGTTTAGAAACTTTTAACCAAGCATTTTGTACTTTTAGCTAGCTTTGTGCCCTTTTTAGCTAGTCTCTTGCTTCTTTCTTCATTTTGCTACTTTGATACTTTTGGCTAGTCTTTTTTACATTTAGCCTCTCGCTAGCTTTATGCAGCTTTCATGAAGCTTTTTACTACTAATTTTTAGATAACATTTTGATACATTTAGCTTTTAGCTCGCTTGAAGCTAATCCTTTACTTATTTTAGCCAAACTTTTCATGCCTTTAGCTAGCTTTGTGCTTCTTTTAGCTACTGTCTTGCTACTTTTTGCTTCTCGCTTTCATTTAGCTACTTTTTTTAGATAGCCTTTCGATACATTTATAATTTCACTAATTTTCTGCATTTTAAGCTACTATTTAGCTTTTTTTACTCAGCATTTTGCTACTTTTATCTTTTAACTAGCTTGTTGCTACCTTTAATTTCTAGACTCTTGCTACATTTAGTTAGCATAAGTTTACTTTTAGTTTTAACGTTTTATTTTTTTGTATTTTTAGCTTTTTGTTAGCCTCTAGCTAAACTTTGGATGCTATAACGTAGCCTTGGATATTTGTTGCCACACTTTTTGTACTTTCAGCTACCTTAGTGTGTCTATTAGCTAAACTTCTTGCTACCATTTGTTACTTCTAGTTAGATTTTTGTGAAGTTATCTAACATATTACTATTTTTACTTTTTAAACTTGTGTTTTGCTACGGTTAGCTTTTAGCTTTCTTTTGTTACTTTCTTGATCTTTCATTACATTTAGCTAGACTCTTGTGTTTTTGTTTTTTTAGCTAGCTCTTTGCAACTTTTGTTGTGTGCTTTACCAACAGTTTCAGCTTCTCCGGCACTTTTTTATTTTTATTTAACCTTTATTTAAACCCGTTGGTCTCACTGAGTCACGAGGACTCGTTTTCAAGAGAGAGAACTAAAAATGTTGGTGCTCCCTCGTTTATCGCGGTTGTTTGGGACCACACCCCGTGATAAGTGAAACTCGTGAAGTAGAGACGGTAGTCGAAGTTCAGTAAAGTTTGTCATGACGTGCCAGGCTGTAATCACACTCATCACCTGTTAGTTCCAATCTCCCTCCTTCAATAAACAGTTTAAACACTTTAACATTATAAACAATCCATACCGCATGGATTGTTTATTATTATAACTTAAGCACCGTGCTGACTGACGTCCATGCGTAAAAAGATCACTGTCAAAAATCAAAATTCAAGATGGCTGCCACCAGATTCATGTAAACCAACCGGGAACTCTGCGTTCTAGTTTTTATTTTCCTTTTAAAGAAAGTTTAGTTTCCTCAAATGATCGGGGTGGCTCAAGATTAATCTACGGGGGCCGAGGCCACCTTTGACACCCCCCAGCTCCTCCACTGCTCCTTCCACTCGTCAAAATCTCCCTCTGTTCTCCTCCTCAGTGTAACTCCTCCCCTCTTGAACATGAAGAACATGTACGGGGACATGTAGTTCCTTCTGGTCAGAGTTTTGTGTTCAGCACGGGTGACGCTGTAACTCCTTTAAATTCATTGTGTCCTTCCTGTCTCGTGCCTTCATTTCCTGCTGCCCGTCACAATAAAAGCGTTGACATGGACACTAACGCTGTCCCTTCCTTCTGTCTTCTGCAGTGGACATCAACTCGGCGCTGCCGCTGCGGCTCCCTCCGGCCGCCATCCCCATGGACCTGCGCGTGGACCAGCAGCAGCAGGTGTCCCCGCCCACCCAGCTGTCCCCCGGCGGCGGCGGCGGCGCGGCCTCCGTGCGCGAGCAGCAGCTGCAGCAGGAGCTGCTGGCCCTGAAGCAGAAGCAGCAGATCCAGAGGCAGATCCTCATCGCCGAGTTCCAGCGGCAGCACGAGCAGCTGTCCCGGCAGCACGAGGCGCAGCTGCAGGAGCACATTAAGGTGCGTCGTTTAACCAAGACGTTAACGAGACTCTCTGAGCCGAGGGGAACCGCGCAGGCGTGTCGTTACATAAAGATTGGAAACTCCCAGAACTTCAAGGCTAGACCTCGGCTTTTTCACTCGTCCAAAACGAGCTCCTGAGTGAGCGTTCCTCAAAGTCCTGCAGCCAGTCGTTTCTCCGTTGTGACACCTAGTGTTCAAGAGTAGGATTGCAGCGAGCCTGGTACCTTAGGGGAACCCTCAGGGCCTTCTAGGTCTTCAGAGAAGGCCCATGAATTCAGCACGTTTGGCACATTTTAAGTTTTATTTTATGTATGTTTTTCCTATTTCCTGTAAACTACTTTAAGCTGAGCATCAACCTTTTTATTGTATGAAAATCCAGTCGTCCAATTAGATTCTTTTAAATTCGTGTCTCCGGGCGGAAATGCGTTGAAGCTTCTTCCTGATTGGTCAGGACTTCAGCGTCAGCAGAGAAGGCCGAGCTCATCAGAGGCTCTGCAGGAGGAGTTTGTTCAGAAACAGTAACCAATCAGAATGCTGATGCAGAGTGGGCGGGGCCACAACACGGGGCTCTGAGCCTTCAGGAAGGCCCAGCAAGAAGTTCTCCCATTTTTTGACCACGTGAAGATTTGTGATGCAAAAAATTACAAACTGCCAATTAAAAAAAATTCACACTGAAATTGTAGTTGCTCTAAAACCATGAAGGTTTTTTTATGTTTACATTAATAATTTTTAATTTTACGTTTGTATTTTTGTTTCTTTTCATGAAGAAATATTCCAGAAACAGGAAGTTCTTCGGGTTTATTCTGAAAGTTCAGTCTGAATTATTAAAATTACATGTTGTACTTGAGGTAAGGCGCAGGGGTTGCTGGGTAATCTTAGGACAGAAGTGGGTGCGCTCCTTCAGGTTTTGTTGTCCCTGTTGGTTCTGTTTGGTGCTGGGTCGGTGTTTCTTCTGGTTCTTGTTCGGCTGTAAGTCCGATGTTGGAACTGATAAATAAAAAGAGGAATGCACTTCCTGTTTTGCTACTTCCTGTTTTAGGAAACTGAAAGTGAAGGGACGTTACTTTGTTGAGTTTTTCACATTAGCATTTAGCAAGTTGCTACAATGCTTTCCTCTTTTAGTCACGCTTCGCCACTGTGCAGTGAATAAATGTCAGCTTTGCCGTGTTAGCGCTCGGGTCAGAACCGGTCTTGTTGTAATTCTGTCTGAAGGGTCTTGTGGCCTGTTGTGGGTCTGCAGGACCACTCAGGAGGGAACCAGTGACGCACATCTGGAGCACGGAGGCCCGACCTCAATCAGCCTCATTCACAGGCCTTGTGTACACACACAAACACACACACATCCTCAGACTTCAGCAAACACGCAGTCTGGACCGGTTTGGTTCCACGTTTGGGCCAGAACCACACAGTGGGGTTCGTGCAAACATCCAGGACCACTCCGCTGCCTCGTGCTCCGGACCGTCTTCAAACTGGACCTCGTCTCAGGTCTGCTGAGCCTTCAGAGGTGTGTGTGGATGTGGGCGGGGAGGTTACTTTGGGCCTGACCACCCACTCAAAGCCCGGTTTAAAGGACCAAGGCCTGGAAAGGATCCAGGAAGCTCCTCGTTTGATTCCCCTCTCTGTAAACACAAACCCGTGTCCCTGCTGCGGCTCCTAAAACACACCGATCACAGAAAACTGTTAAATCTGCGGGGGGGTGGGGGGGGTGCAGCACTGGGTGCACAGATTATTCATCATGTCGCAGAAAACGTTTTATAATTTAATGTTTTTAGAGTCCCTGCCTCGTGAAGGATCCGTCAGGACTGATGCATGTGGACTGGTTTCTATTTGACCTGTAGGTTGCAGGCCAAGCTGCCGGGCCACAGATGGGTTTTTATCTTGGGAACAAACAACAGAATTTTACATTTAAATCATTTAACAGATGCTTTAACCGTGGAAGAAGACAGATTGTGTTACGTGTTCAGCGAAAGCCTCGTGTTTTGCTTCAGATCAAAATAAAGTGGAATAAAATGGTACAATTTTAAAAGCACGAAGCGTAAAAACTAATTGAATTTACAAATGTTCTCATATCAAGCAGCTAAAAGGTTTAACATTTTAAAAATAATTGAAAACCCTGTTTTATTAACGTTCCACGTTAACACTTTGGGGGCTCGCCCGGGATGCGAACCCAAACTCGAGGTTTCTTTGTTTTTTCCTCACTGACGTGATTTCTGCATGTCTCCGTGCAGCAGCAACAGGAGCTCCTGGCCCTGAAGCACCAGCAGGAGCTGCTGGAGCACCAGAGGAAGATGGAGAACCACCGTCTGGAGCAGGAGCTGGAGAAGCAGCAGCGGGAGCAGAAGCTGCAGCTGCTCAAGAACAAGGAGCGGGGCCAAGAAAGTAAGTTACCACAAGACGAAGAGGTTCTGCAGCGAGAGGAGTCACTCTGGATGCATTTATTTTGATGGGGCGCACCCTATTGATTAGCAAGCGATCAAAATCAGCCGAACTTCAGCTTGATGTGCTCGAACGCATCATTGCTGAGCAGCGAGTTGAAGCGTGAGAAAAAATAGCTCTTTTAATCAGTTTTATTCAAAGTTACCATAAAATCAATAACCCACACATTTTTCTAAAGATATATTTACAGCTGAGCTTCCTGCTCAATAAAATAGGAGCTAAAGTTTAGCTTTAGTGCCACATTTCTTTGTGAGACTTGCAATCAGGACAAATATACACATTGTGATTATTGACTACTTTATTAGCCTTGGATACAATAAAATAAATAAATAATTTAATTTAATAACCTAAAATCTTTCAGAGTTTTCCTTTGTCCCAAATATTAAATGGGACCCGCTCAGAAAGTTTTAAGTAAAAAAGTGTTTTAAAGCGTTTTTCCGGTTATCCAGTCATTTTATGTTTTGAAGCCAATAAAAACAAATAAAAGTATTAAAAAGTTGTAATCGGGTGTCTAAAAGAGACGGACTGTAATTATTTTTACGTTTGCCTGCTAACGTAGACGTTCACGCTCAATCATCCAGGTACAAATCCAACAAAGTTCAGTCAGGTCCTCTGGACGCTTTATTTTGTTGCTGAGACGTTTCGTCCGTCATCCAAAGGACTTCTTCAGTCACAAACAAACAGGAGTCAATGCCAACAATTTTGGCATGGCTGCCTCAGAGGAGTTGATGGGGGAGAGGGCGGGCCCCAGAAACCATCTTATCACCAGCAGACTGGTTTTATCCACTATGGGAGTTGGTGCTTGTGGGATGCCAGTTTGTTGGTGGCTCCTTGGACTGAGGAAGTCCTTTGGATGAAGGACAAAATGTCTCAGCAAAAAAATAATTGTCCGGAGGACTGAACTTTGTAGACGTGACAGAAAGACACAGATTAAAAACCTTAAAACAGCAAATGCTTCATTATGACCTCAAAATGATCTTAAAAATATAAATATTTTATATATTATTATTCTGACTGACATGTAGGAGTGGAGGCTGTTGGAGGGACTTCAGTGAGAGGTTTGTCTCGTTACAGATTCCGTCTTTAAATAAGGAAAACAAACGGAGCGAGAGTCTTTTCCAGCGTTAATCGTTGTGTAAACAGTTTCCGTGTCATCCCGGCAGCTTCGTGAGGACTCTTCATTCAAACGGCCCCAGGCTCAAAGCTCTGCTGTGTTTCCATTTGGCTGCGAGAACCTGAATATTTACCGCGGTAAACGAGCTGTATTAGCCCGGTGGCCTTGGGTGAGGTGTGTGTGTGTGTGTGTGTGTGTGTGTGGGGGGGGGGGGGGGGGGGGCGTCTCTCAACAGCTCATTGAAAGCAGACGGGACTCTGAGAGTTGTTCACTCTCTTCATGGAGGACCGCTACGGGTCGGGCCGATGTGTTCACTGTCAGGAGTCTGGTGGTCGAGTGACGTTCAGTTTATTCATCGTTCTGCATCGTTTGGAGACCAACTTTAACTTCCTTTAACTAACCATAGTTAACTACATTTAACCATGTTTAACTATCTTTAACTATATTTAATTAACCATAGTTAACTACATTTAACCATATTTAACTATCTTTAACTATATTTAACTAACCATAGTCAACTACATTTAACCATATTTAATTATCTTTAACTATGTTTAACTAACCATAATTAACTACCTTTAACTATATTTGACTATATTTAACTAGCCAAACTTAACTACCTTTAACTAACCATAGTTAACTACATTTAACCATATTTAACTACTTTTAACTATATTTAACTAACCATAGTTAACTACATTTAACTACCTTTAACTAT